TATCTAAAAACACTGTCGTCCGCATTTCTAGAGAGAAAAAAAAGAATCGATAACCGTGAGATATCGGAATTTTCATCACCAAGAAAAACCATTAAAAAACCAAAATCAATAGTTAATGATATAGATGAAGCTGCACAAGAATCGAAATTTTATTTTTTTATTATTAGATAGCTATTTTTGTTTCTGAGTTGTGTTCATTTAGAGGCTCAATTTTTTTCCGTTTCTCCTTTTTGATTTTATATGGGGTTTCAAGTTGTTTTTGACTTATTTCGACAACACACTTTTTTAATAAATCAAACAAGTGTTAAGAGGTATATGTACGTGTAAACTACAATTACAAAAAATTGATATGAAACCCATGAAACCACCAACAAAAATGTAAAGCTAGCTTCCGTACTAGAACATGGTGTCATTCGTCGAGATAATTTATCGTTTTGTTTAATAGATCAAGAAATGTAAATATTCCCCTGTTATTTTTTATAAAATTATAAGAGAAATAAATTTTTTTCTAAATAGTATAGTTTATTATTTTGTAGAAAAACAAAATTTCGAAAATTTTAGTAATGTTTCAGAAACAACCGTTATTAATAATAGGTACCATTTTCCTTAATAAGGTAGAAATAAAATATAAACTATTTCCACGATTTACAAAGGCCTACAAAAAAATTATAGGTATTTTCCGCTATCCTATAAAATTTATATTTTCTGACTCAATTTCAAAAGGTTGAAGGAATTCCAAAACACCTTTTATGGCATAATAATTATTTTCAATTCCACATACTATCTTTAGCTGCTTTTAAAAACGTTCTAAGAAAGTCCAATCAGACCAATTTAATCCCTAAACTATTCCACACTTTTAAAATTTAATTACCTAAAAATATTAAAAACTATTTAAAATAACTTGTTTAGCAGACTGTACAATAGCTATCTTAGTCACACGTAGCGCGTTCTCTGTCTGGGCGTCGAACACCTCTAGAAATTTGATGAACTGTACCTTTCAAACAAGATGTCACTTGCCATAAGGTCCCATTTAATATTATTGGTTTCAGTTGCCTGGTGATGTCACCGATGCCTATTACGTCACCTGTTACCACTAGTAGACAAGCTTACAATAGTTCATTTTTACCCTCAAAATTTTATCATTATCACCGTTCAAAAGAAAAGAGGGGGGAAGGGACTTTTGAGAAGCACTGTATCTGCATCTTTGAAAATTTCAATTTAATCAAATGAATAAGTTATTTTAATTACAATACAACAGACCCCAGAATCAGTTTTTAATTTTGTAGTACTGCTTTGTGTTTTAGGTATCCCGTTGCTTATTGAAAGTTGATCGATCTTGTCACTTGCTTCATGGAGTTTTAAATAACAAATATTTTCAGAAAAATACAAAAACTTCTTTCAAATAAGTGACAAAACGAAATAACAACAACAAGTGACAGCAAGAGTGACATATCGCATGCAAAATACATTGATATGAAGGTAGTCACATGACCACAAAACGTTAAAAAGTACCAGATAACTACCCCGTCTTGAAAAGACGGAAAGCTAATTATCTATCAGATAGTAACTCTCGGATACTATATCTGTTGGTTAGTTAACTGGAGTTTTATCTCAAGGTGAAAAGACCGACCCTAAGGTGTATTCAATATCCCATGGACATCCACTAATTATATCAAAGTCTAGGCGCGAACGCAAACCATCGTGGATATTCACTAGATGTATTTTTTGATTTTGCTTACTAAGTATAGATGGCGATACTAGTTTCGTATCTACTCATGCTCAACCCGCCGTAATTGAGTTCGATCGAAATTTGTTTCAAAATCAGACTCTATTAGAGACTGGAGTCGAGAATTTCCATTTATTGCTGAAGAGTTCTAATAAGGATAACTTTCTCCTTAGTGGGCAAAATCAAATGCATAGTGTTAAAAATATTTTGAGTGTTGAAATAGTTATTTTCCTAACAAGTGTGGAAAGTGTTACTTTCCCGCACGCGACTGCCGTTGGCCCGAACGACGCGAAGCGGAGTTCGGGCAAGCGGTCAAGTACGGGAAAGACACTTTACGCATGAGTTAGGAACATTATTTTTTCTACGACCGTATATACAAAAAAGTAGGAAAAATTATTTTTGGAAAATTATTTTATTTCAACATATGCAAATCTTTAAATAAAAACAACTAATTATTATGGATATTAATGTTAAATACACAATTTGTAGCATTTTGTAAATTATGTAAAATTGCCGGTACAGAGGAATTGGTGTTAATTGGCTGTTATAATCGTAACGCTCGTAGATTGAAAAGATGACGTGGACGGGAGTGACATCGGTTGCAGGTTGAATGTGAAAATGACGGTGGCAGCAAAGGTAGCAAGTCATTTCTATTTGAAAGAATTTTATTCGAAATGTTTTTCTTCTGTGTTTCGGAGTCCTCCAAATAGCCTTCAGCGATAGTAGTAGACTTCCAGCCACCGAGACGTTTTATATTGGTTATCGCTTCACCTGAGTCTGCTAGGAATGTTGCTGAAGAACGTCTAAAACTGTGTCCTGTATATCGTTCAGGATTAGGTAGACGCAAATATGCAGCAATCTCTGTTGGCATCTTACCAAAGGTGTTTACGCCAACGCACTGAATTGAGCATTTTCCCTTCTAATAATTAATAAAAAAGCGGCGATGCGGAGTGCCAGGTGGTCGTAAACCTGCGTACTTTCTGTACAGCTTCAGAAAGTTTCCATTATTTATTTCTTCACATAAAACAAATGATCTTGAAGAATGATTTTTGGAATCGGAAATTTTCACAACTATCAGATTGCCTTTATCTTGTATATCATCGAGAGTGATATTTACAAGCTCCGCTCTGCGGAGAGCACCAGCTAAAGCAAAAATGGTACTCACTTTAATCATAAGGTATACCTCATCAGGGGCTAACATAAACCTGGATATATCTTCTTTGGTAAAAACCTGCGCCTTCTCTGCTCGAAAACCAACATTTTTTTGTTTTAGAAATGACGTTAACTTATGGAACTGGCTTATATCCAAATTTTGTTTTATTTTTACTAAACTTTTCACCATCGAATAGCGAGACCATAAAGTATTAGATTTCAAAAACTTACTTAGGTGCGAAAAATACGCCAGAAACACCTCTTCTTTGTAGGTTTTTACCCCTTCCTGTTTACACCATGTGACAAAATGGTCGTATTGTTTTTCATATCTTCCTCGTGATTTGGCAGGAAACACCTCCAAATGTGCTTCATTTGCAGCTTTTAAAATGGCTTCGGGCTCTTCATCCGATGAATCCATTATTTCTTTAATTTATTTTAATTCAGTTGACGCTTCAACAAACAACTTTGACGTTTTTGTAACAATAACACGCCTTGGTTACCATATAGCAACCATATCAAGCCATACATGTCACAGCCTAGTCTGACTTTTAAAAATATACAGAAGGTATATAAAAATATCTCTATTATTCAAGTTTTCCAAAAAATTAAAATTATAACAAAAAGCAAGAAAAAAAGTAAATTTTATTAAATGGAATAGTTGGAAAATACTAAATTACCTATTGTAACAATAGTTATAACATCCGAGGTAAAAAAACTATACAATAGGTAAGGCCAAATATTCATAATTTTACTTTCCCGCACTAGTGCGGGAAAGTGACACTTTCAAAACTAAAATGCGTGCGAGAAAGTGGGTAAAAATACACGGTCGTAGAAAAATATTTTTTTATCTCTGCTATTTTCTTTCGACTTTATTTCAATAATCATTGGTTACTTATGAACCCTCTACTAAAGATTCTTATAAAATATTTTGCTGAATATCCGAATTCTTCTATATCCTGGGATATAGACGGACATTTGGTTGGATATCCACAGAATATATTCTGTAGATATCTCTGGGATTTCTTGTATTGTCTGGAAGATACTCATTAGATATTTTGCTGGATATCCATATGATATCTTCTATATTCTGGATATAGACGGACATTTGGATATCCATATTAGATCCACAGAATATTTTTGATATCCTGTGGACATATTGGATATCCACAAAAGATATTCTGTGGATATCTCTAGGATTTGGTATGTTGTCTGGGCAATAGAATCAAGCAAATGAAACTCAAGCCATTAATACAATAAAATATTGGTTGGTTAAGGCCAAAGAAAGAATTTGTAATAAAAATAAGAATAAGTAGGTATGAATTTTTTGAAATAAAGATTTAAAAAATGGTCACGACTTTCATTATATACTTTTATTTTTTAATGTTCAATATTAAACATCCTGTATTGGGGTGTCTAGTATACGCCTAGCATATGCTACATTAAATATTTGGCATATACTTAGAAAGTTCTATCAAATGAAAGTAGATACTTATTGCATACTGTACACATACTTGAAGTACATTCTCAGTATCTGCATAGCACGTATAAACAACGTCATGTAGGTAACATATGCTTAGTATATTCTGAGAATGTACTAAATGCAAATAAAGTATATTCTCAGCATATGCGTATTCTTAAAAAATATGCTAAGAATGTATAATTGTTATCTGGATACTAAGGTGTCATTTGAATAATAGATTCATACTGGAGGCCAAAATGAATGGACAATCTCAGAATCTAACCAGGACCTACTTTCAAATATCCACAAACTTTTAAACGTTAACATTGCCTGTTACAGGTGCAGGTTAAAGGTGTCACTGAGAAATTGCTATCGTACAGATAAGTACTTCTATCTACATAGTTAAGTTGAAATGCACTTTTATTTCGTAATCGATATACCAAGTCAAATCTTTATGAAATTCTTATAACTTAGCCCTTCACCTACTATTCATTCAAATAAACTTCATTTGAAAACCTTTAAACGTGCTAAAATAAATACATACTTTATAACGCACGTAAATACCTATATTTAATTCACAAGAAGTGTTTTGAAAACTGTCTTGACAAGAAAATTTTGGCTTGGTACTTACGTTGTTAAAAAAAACTGAAAACAAGTACTCACTTGCTTCACAGTTCATTCCAATCTCATGTTAGGTATGAAAATTTAGGTGAAAAATAACCCTATCTTTTTTTGAAATCATATTTTGACATCATTTTGAAGTTCATTGTAACAAATGAAACATTTAAATCAGTTTCAATGAAAAATCTTGTATTCGTTGACGTTATTCAGACTCTTAAGCTGGCTTCACAGGATGATTAATTTTCGCCAAAAGATGTGGTAAAGCATTAATCTGGTTTCTTTATCAATGGTCCAGACTATGTAGTGCTGGCCTTCATTTAATTAAAAATTAAATTAAGAATTAAATGCTTAACTAAGTTCATATTAGGAATTCCAAACAAATGAAACGCGCTGCTATGGTTTGGTATGTCTAAAGGGTTGCGACATACGATGTATTCTATCTATAATACGAGAAATTATGAATAATGGATTACATTTAAATATTTTATGTGGAACACAATGAAAATATTATTTTTAAAAAATCGCTTATACGTTTTCTATAAATTAGCAGACTTGGCGACTACTATTTCAAATATAAATAGCGTTCAAGATGAAAGGCTATGTCGCAACCCTACTTAGATTTACTAGCCTTTACCATGGGCAGCTATTGTTTGACAGGTCGTTGAAATGCCTGATTAGACATTATATTAGGGTTACTATTAATAAAGAAGAATAAAGAGACATCAAAGTTCCCTTCCCCTGTGTCAATAACAACCAGTACAACTAACGTCAACTGTTCTTATGGCTGATGATGCAAGTGACGATAAAAATGAGATTAAAGATGAAGAAAAAGTTGTAAAACATCGAAAAGAGAACAAAGCAAAGAACAAAAAAAGTACGTGAGTAAGGAGTCTGATATCATTAATTCCATATAACTGCTTATAGTTTAGTCTAGAATGGGATTCTAGAGGAAATAGATTACATTAGTCTTCTCCACCTCGACCTTTCCAGGTCTAGTGTGGATATTCTTTAATCGTTGGTTAGAGTAATTTGTCTAGTTTTGTAGTTTCTAGTAGGAAGTAGTCTTTTTTCCCAAGCCGATGCAATGCCAATGTAGTATTAAGCCTATAATGGCCTACTGGTAGGTACTCTTTTATTTTTTCTATTTTGGCTTAGTAGATGTTGGATAGTTTTAATGATGATACTAGATCACTGTCACGGTGAATTGCTTCATCATTCCTGATATTTGTTTAAGATTCACTGCTTTGTACATGTTTAAATTAAGCGGGTAAGCTTTGGTATTTTATTAAAAACAGCGTCACAATCAATTGGAATCAAACCCGCAGCTTTGAATCATGCTTTAATGTCTTCTTTCTCCAGTGGAAATCCCCAATCACTTGCGGTTATTATTGCTTGCACAAGTTTGTTCTCCTCTAATTCAGAGAGACTTGTTTGACCTCTTGGTGACTTCATGATTTTGTTGTTAAACTTTCTTTCCAAAGTCGATTTTGGAATCCCATATTTATTGGCAGCTGCTCGATAAGATATATTGTTTGATTGAATGTCTTCCAAAGCATTCTCGACGGCATCATGTCCCACATACTTTGATTTTCTTTTACTATACGGAGAATGGTCGCACTGCGCAGCTTTCTGAGTCCCTTTTAAAAGGAGATAGAAAACTCCGCCATTTTGAACCCTTATTACGTGTTGCCTACATCTTGGCGCAATATTTTTAATAGGTGCGTTTTAATCATCCGCTTCTGCTTCGGAATTGTCGGTTTTCTTGTTTTAATCTGACAGGTTAAAACGACTAAACCGACAATTCCGGAAGCAGAAACGGTAAAACGCACCTTATATTTTGCTTGCTGCTGTCAGTGTCAGTGAATATTATTTTTGGAGTCACAGTTTATTGCTAAAGAATCAGTTAGCTCACTCGGACCAGTTGAAAGTTCCAAAATAACATCCACTCCAGGGATACAAATTCAGGATACGCAGAAGACTGTTGTTTTATTATAGGCGGTTGTCATATATTGTATTATCTGAGTTGCGCAGTGTATAAACTGGAATATTGAGATCAAAAGTGCCGACGCAGAGTGAGCGATCTGATTCTTTAGCTATAAACTGTGTCATAGGAATCAAAATGGCCGCGCCCTATGTTGGGTGTGTCGGACCCCTCTCTTGCCCCGTATAGTAATCAAAGTATGTGGCATGTCCCAATTACCTTAAAATAAAACACAAAAATAAAGGTTTTGAGGTTAGGTATATTATAATTTAGATAAAGGACATATTAGAAATCACAAAAAAAATTATTGCAATTGTCAGTGTCAAATAATTTAAAGTGGACCATAGGAAGTAAAACGGTCATTTGAAACTATGTTTTTACATTATCAAATTATGCTACATTCACTTACACTGACATCTAGTGAAGCCAATCGCAAAAATAGTTTTTGTTCCGCTACTCGTTAGATGGTGGCAAAAAATTCCAATAATACTTGATTTGTCCCAAGTTGCACCACGGTCCCAAATCACCCAAATCACTCAAACCTACGGTACCTAGAATGGATATGAAATATCGATGGCTTAGAGTACAAATGTTGTATGTCCAAAAATGTAATTTTGAGTAAAATCGATTTGAAAGTTGGAGGTGACTATGACGAGCTGTATAATTTTTATTAGTATTACTTTACTGAATGGTAAACCTATTTAAGTAGACGTACTATATTTGGTAACCATAAAGATTTTATCATGAAGAATATAGAATCCTACCTATCCCATTTTCGACAAAAATGGACATACAACATGTGTGCTTTAAACCAACGATATATTTGTTCAGTAGAACGCAATAGCATACTTTTTATTTTTGTAATCTGTGCGTAGATGAGCTAATATCCATGTGGGTGTAGAAAAAAATTATTTGTTCAATATTTCGTCAACAATGATTTAGATATTTTAATTGGTTCTAATTTATTTTATTTTTCAATCAGCTTTTTGGGTCACAAAGTCAATAGCAGAAGAACTTGGAAGGGAAGCTGTCTTAAGAAGAACGTTAATAGAATTCGTAATATATGTTGTATTTCTTATATTTTCAACACTATGTAAGTATTACATATACAATTGTTATTTATCGTTTCTATATTTAACTAAGATTCTAACACTGAAATAATCAAAAAAATAAATAACACTTATTTTTTGACTGGACAATAATTATTGTTTTATAAATTATAGATATCATTGGAATTAATACAACTTCTGTATATTATTTAACAAAGGCTTTGAAACAGCAATTTGTGGAGCAAGAATTTGAAACTTTAAATGGTGTTGGTATCTCTTTTGGTGACATTAAAACAGCTGTTGATGTTTGGTTTGTGAGTTTAAAACATTTAATTTATTTTAATTTTGTTTTATTTTTATTATTACATCGGAAGAAAGAAAATCATAAATTCTAGTAGTAAAGGTACTTTAACAGTTCGGCTTCAGTGACTGGAAGAGTCTTTAATGTCTCAATACTTTAAACAAATAATTCATTACCCTTACCACCAAGATTTTTGCGCAAGCGCAGTAGTACAAATGTGCGTGATGTAATCGTCGTTGCGACAACGTCAACCGAAAACGTCATGCGAAATGGCAAACGAAACGTCAAACGAAACGTTAAACAAAACATCAAACATCAAACGAAATGTCAAACGTCAAAAGAAACGTCAAACGTCAAAAGAAAACGTCATGCTAAACGTTAAACGAAACGTCAAACGAAACGCCAAACGAAACGTCGATTTTTCTCTTCACCGTTCATCTATACCGCGTTCTCTACATAATGTCGTTTTTCTCGTTTGAATCGGACCAGTAATAATCGAGAAACACGTTTAGGTCCTTTTGGCATTGCTACTGCGCAGAAGTTTTCTCTTCAATGTTCATATATACTACGTTATTTACATAATGCCGTTTTTCCTAGTCGAATCTGACCAATAGTAGCCGAGAAAGACGCTTAGGTCCTTTTGGCAATCAAATGATTTTTCCGTTCGGCTTTAATAGAGATTTAATTCCCCCACTCCCCCACTGGCGGCCCGACAAGCGACAAAAATTGGCAGAATGAACCTTAGCGATTTCCGATGTTAATTTAAATAAGGAATGAGGCCGAACTGTTACAGTACCTTTACTTCTAGTTGTCAAATTTAACAGAAATGTGTCTTGAAAGTTAAATGGAACCATATAATAATAGAAAGTTATTGGACGTGGTCTAAAGTTTAAGTAGTATAAGGGCCCCTATATGTAGATATCACAACATCCAGATGGATGGTTTAGCTGCTATCTACGAGAACTGCAGAGACATAGATAGACAGGAGACCTGTACAACCAAAGGATGTCCTCAAGGAAGAGTTCTAGTTTTACTAATGTGTAACTTAATCTTAGACAAACTCGGCAAAACCTGTCGCAAGCGAAGTGGCTCTTAGTATAAACCGCCACCAAAACAACACTAGTAGCCTTATCAAAGAAAAGGGAACTCAAATTTACAACCATCTAATTGGAAGCGATAGATATAGAATCGAAAAGAAGTAAACTTTTTTGGAACATACATGAGAAGGAAGTAGTAAATAAGGCCACAAAAGACCTAATGGTATGCAGACACATTGCGGACAAAAGATGGAGATGTAACCCGAACACATTGCGATGGATGTATACTGCAATAATAAGACCAATCCTCATGTACGGAGCTGTAACCTAGAGTAACAGAACTAGTTTAGCTACTACGAGAGCTTACATCTCAAAAGTACAAAGACTAGCAAGAGAACCTGTCCTAAAGCTGGTAGCAAAGGAGATGATCTTAGATCTTACAAAGAATAACGAGATCGCAGAACCTCTCGCAAGTAAAGGGACTCAAACATGTTTTGTGGGACCTAAGCCATTTTGCAGTATCAGTAGTAACAATATTAGGAGAGATTAAAAAAGAATTAGGCCAAAAAAGAATCGATAATTGGAACGATCTCTTTAGTCTAAGGCAGGCTATAAGATACTTCTGGGTGACTATAACCAGAAAAGATCGAAAGCATGTATCTGTCTGAGTAAGAACAGGCTACGCATTGTCACAGAGGGATCCTTACCGGGCATTGTTGACTCAAATGATACCTTAGTAAACTGAGACCAGTAGAAGGTAATGAGTGTAGATTCTGTGAGGAGGATGAGGACAAAACCTCTATTCGCATTCTATCTAAATGTGAAGCACTGCAGAATCCAAAGGCACTATAGCTAGGAGCATACCAAATAGTAAAGGCCGGCACTATATTTAGGAGCATACCAAATAGTAGAGGGCCACACTATAGTTAGGAGCATACCAAATAGTAAAGGACGATCTATATAACTTGAAGCCAATCCAAATCCTACATTTCATTGAGAAGATAGGATTGGAGATGTTTTCATGTGCATCGGCTGTATTAGCGACAGAGGAAGGCACAATAGATCTTTAAGGTCGCAGTGGATTAATATTCCATTCATAACATGGGCGCCTTTATTTTGACATTCTTAAGCATGCGTACCTACTTGAACTTTTTAAAAGGGAAAACCATATTTAAATTGTATTTCTCCTTATTTGCGCTGAAATACTGTATGAACTTAAGAACAAACCGGACCTCTCGCGACAGCAAAAATGCTTTAAGGATTTTCTAATATAAAAATTTATATGCGCGCCACTGGGAATACTTCGTAATATTTATTATGTGCCTTGAGAGTATTGAGAGCTTTAAGTTTGTGAAACGATAAGGCAGCACTCTACAGAAACGTTTAAGAAAAATATGTGGGAAATCCTCCCATTTAAAAACTACTAGATATTTATTAAAATAAAAAGCATAAAATTTTCATAGATTTAATACAGAGTGGCGCGTAAATGTTTTTTATGTAATTCTTTTTAAAATGTTTTAAAATAAATACTTTTCGAAGGTTTACAAAAAATTCAAAGTTTCTCAACCCTAAGTTTTGTTATTGTCGGTATTTCCTGAAAATTTCACAAAAATTGAACTAAAAATAAAGGCTCAGAATGAATTACAAATTTTTAAGGTGTTCCGTTTGCTCTTTATGTTAACTGTATTTACTTTATATTTTGACAACATAACCAATTTTAACTTAAAAGTAGAACACTGTACCTATTTAGACATTTTATCATTTCATTCATTTAGAATAAATTATTTGAAAAAATAACTAAACAGAATAAACTCTGATAAAAAACATTTTTTCTAGGAATAAAACACTGTCAACTAAAATCTAATTCTAAAATTTTCGACGTCCAATAACTATAAAGTGTTATTTAAATAAGGTCCTTCTTAAATAGATACCTCCTGACAAAAAAAAACGATTCAATTTAATTTAAGATAGAGACATGAAACAAAAACGAAGTGAAATTAGAGAGATGTGATATTTTTGTTATAACGAGATGCACTTTACTTGAAACGTGAGAAACTCTTAGAGAGAATTACTATCTTTAAATTTTCTAACGGAAAGTAGGGTCATGTGATGCCTCATTTGAAATATATTTTTATTGTTACATAAAAAACCTAGAACTGTATACATGGCTCTAACGATAATACACATATCTTTCAAATGAGGTATCACATGACCCTACTTGCCATTAAAATATTTAAAGATAGTAACGCCCTTTTTCTTACGTCTCAAGTAAAGTGCATTTCGTTATAACAAAAATATCTCTTTAATTTCACCTTGTTTTTATTTCAAGTCTCTATATTCTTCCATTTAAAAGTTAATAGGAGGACGGGGCACAATTTACGTACTCACTGTATAAAAAATTACTTTTAGTACCTTGAAAATCACCTAAGTAACAGCTTATTTTGGGAATCTACTTATGATCCTAGACCAGGAGTTGAAAATGCAATGAATATTCTTCACGAAAATAAAGTTTTGGGTGTACCAAGATTAAGACAGGTAATTAACGTTTTATATTTTTTTGTAAAGGTATCTGTCTAAGACAAAATATGTACTCTTTATCACGCTATTTAGAAATGCGACTTTTATTCTACCTAATAGTATTGTATAAAGAACTAGTAAGGAATGATCCACAAAAAAATTAAATTCACGCGTGTCGGAGCATACAATTCTTCTCCTTCTTTTTTTTTTCTTCTTCTTCTACTTTTTGTTCTTCAATTTGATTTTATTCAGAGCCGCGCATAGTTTGACGGACATGGTAGTACCTCTATCTTTTAATTTTTTTATTGCTAGGTTTATTCAAAAAAGGTGATCTACCTGTTATAGGTACAATTCCCTAAATTCCTTTCTTTTATTGTCTGGAGAATAATATTCTTTTTGATTTTAGGTGAAAGTGCGGAATGATTCGTGTATTATACATAGTTACTTTCGCAGATTATTTCTAACCTGTTTTGATTCATTCTCTAGTAGTTCGGAAGATGTTGAACCATTTGGACCGCGAAACAAAACGGCGTAAGTATAAATTCATTCAACGAAGTGGAAAAACACATAGTAGGTCGACTAAAATTTATTAAAATAGAAAAAAAAAATGAGTAATAAGTTTTAAAATAATATTTTAGGCCCGATTACTCTGACATTATATTGATAGTGCTATTGTGGTTGGGCTAGTCAAATATAAAAAATTATATACATAAAATGATATTGATTCATTGATTCATTTTTCACTTTAAAATGTTAATTTACTAAGGTTTTTAAAAATGGCAAAAAATACAAAACGAAAACTAACATTTTATTATGATATAAGCAACAAGTATTAGAAATAAAAAATAAAAAAACCGACTTCAAAAACGTGCTGATACCATCACCACATCTTAACCAAATTTATATGGGATTACTCCTGAGGTACCCCCTTACTAACAAAAAAAGAATCATATAAATCGGATATGGTGGTAAAGCATTATCGCTAAACATACATAAAAAATGAAGAGTTTGAGGATTTTTTCATGGATCCGATTATTAGATTTTGACCAAATTAATATGAGACCACCCCTGAAGTACCTCCTTTCTAACAAAAAATAATCATTAAAATCGGACACCGTGTTAAAGAATTATCGCTGAACATACATAAAAAAAAATATTGCGACGAATTGAGAACCTTCTCCTGTTATCGAGTCGATGTTACCTGAAAAACCTGAACCACTAGATAGAATTGCTATAGCCGCTTCGGATAAGGGATGGATGACGACTATAATATTTGCGAATTGGTTTAGAAAATGTTTTTTACCTCATGTATCAAAAGAACGTCCGATCCTTTCAATTGTAGATGGACATACAACCCATATTTCGTGTAATGTGATCCGAGAAGCCCTTGGATAATGATATATGTATTTTAAAATTACCACCACATACAACCCATCTGCTTCAGCCACTCGATGTTGGTGTATTTAAGAGCATGAAAGCGACATGGAATAAAAATCTTTCTAAATGGCAAAGGCTCAACCTAAGAAGAAAAATTCCTAAAACTGAATTTACGCATCTTCTTGACAAGTAATTTTTGTAAATGCTTAAACAGAACATTATAAATGGCTTTCAAGCAACAGGTATCTATAATTTAGATATACAGGGTGATTCACATAAGAACCGACATAGAGCAGGGGCATATAGGGGGTCCCAAAATATGGCAATTTAACGCAACTTACCTCTATACCAAGTTGCTTCCCTAAGGAGTTATAGGCTTTGAAAGTGAAGTTATAAATTTTGAAAAAAAAAAAACAATATCTCCGTTATTCTTGAACTTAAAGCAACCAAATTTGGTACACTTTGTGGATGTATTTAGGGCGTTACTTGACAGTAACTAGAGTTTAATTGAAATTTGTAATACTGGGTGGCGCACCACTAATATTCAACAGAATTTTGTTAACCCTTGATGGATTTTAAAAATCTTTGCTTTGTTTTGTGGGCAATTCAATTCTTAAACTTTTCTTACTCTAGTAATTTTTCGAAAAAACTCATCATTTTCATCAAAAACTCGAATAACTTAAAACGCGCGCTCTAGGTGTGTTATTTAAAATCAGCGAAAATTCAAAAGTTGGCTATGAAAATAAACGTCAAACAAGAAAGTAGGTCATTTAATGTGATCAGTAGGAATTGGCTGGCAAATTATTATTTAGATACGTAACAAAATAACTTAAAGTAAGTACAGATACTGAAATGTGAAAAACTGGGATTAACAACTAACCAAAATAAACACAAAAAACTTAAACAACAACCAGAACAAACAATTGTTTATCGATAAATTAAAGAAATTGTTCAAAATGATCGCCGTTTTCTCTTACGCATAAATTTATTCTTCTTCGAAAATTAAAATCCACCCTATCTAATAACTGTTGATTATTCCTAATAGATGTGCATTTATGAATAATGCGATTCCATAATTCTTCTTGAGACGCAACGGGCGAAGAATACACAAATTCTTTCAACGTTCCCCACAGAAAGAAGTCACATTTGTTCAGGTCAGGTGATCTTGGGGGCCAACGTTGTGGGCAATTATTTCCTCTTCCTATCCATCTATTGGGATACTGGTGGTTTAAAAAATTTCTTACGTTCATACTAAAATGAGGCGGTGCTCCATCGTGCATAAACCAATGTTGCAACCTTAGTTGTAAAGGTACCTCGTCAAGTAGATACGGAAGGGTGTTTTGTAGAAATTCTAAATAATTTTCACCATTCAGCCGATTCGGTAAAACAACAGGACCAATTAAATATCGATCAATAATTCCCATCCAAACATTAATTTTGAATTCACGTTGGAAATGCCGAGGAGTTATTGCATGTGGGTTTACGTCAGAATACTCATTATAGTTATGGAGATTTGTGATACCTCTGCGAGTGAAAGTCGCCTCATCCGTAAAAAGAATTTTCTTTTGGAAGTTATTATCTTGGTGTAGAATAAACTGACAAAAATTGACACGTTGAACCAAATCTCCGGGTAAAAGTTCTTGGACTTTTTGTACATGATAAGGGTGTAGTAGATTGCGACGGATAACTCGATGCACAGAACTCTGCGATATACCAATTTGTCGAGATAAATTCCTAGTACTAATATGTGGATCATCTTGAATAGCATTTAAAATGGCTACCTCAACTTGTGGCCTGAGTGCGACAGCACGTTCTCGAGTATTATTGAGAAACTTGCCCGTTTCTCTAGCTCGTCTTTCAACATTAGAAAATGTTTCTCTATGGGGAATGATATACGGTTAGGAAATCTTCTACGATATTCTTCTACACTTCTTCTACAGTTTCCTTCACAAAAACCTAGCACTAACAGCATGTCAACTTGCTCGTTAAAAGAAAACTTCCCGTTCATTTTAAAAACACTCAAACAACAATTACTTAATTGAACAACTTACTTGCTTCATTGTCAAGTTTGACGTTTATTTTCATAGCCAACTTTTGAATTTTCGATGATTTTAAATAACACACCTAGAGCGCGCGTTTTAAGTTATTCGAGTTTTTGATGAAAATGATGAGTTTTTTCGAAAAATTACTAGAGTAAGAAAAGTTTAAGAATTGAATTGCCCACAAAACAAAGCAAAAATTTTTAAAATCCATCAAGGGTTAACAAAATTCTGTTGAATATTAATGGTGCGCCACCCAGTATACCCCCTTTACAAATTTCAATTAAACTCTAGTTACTGTCAAGTAACGCCCTAAATACATCCACAAAGTGTACCAAATTTGGTTGCTTTAAGTTCAAGAATAACGGAGATATTGATTTTTTTCAAAATTTATAACTTCACTTTCAAAGCCTATAACTCCTTAGGGAAGCAACTTGGTATAGAGGTAAGTTGCGTTAAATTGCCATATTTTGGGACCCCCTATATGCCCCTGCTCTATATGTCGGTTCTTATGTGAATCACCCTGTAGGTAAACCAGATCGAACAAAAATTCCTGAAACAATATTTTCACAGCAAGATCTTGTAAAATATAGCCACCACGCTAAACAAAAGAGGTGATTATTGGAACGAAAGAGCAAGAAATTAATGAAAACGAAGTAAATGGAACAATTCATCAAATGGAAGATTTAGTTAACGAAGAACAGCAAACAAATATAGTGAATGAGCAACAAGGTAAAAAGGAGTTGATGCCTGAAGACAAACTTGTACCTTCAAATACCCAAAGCAATATTTGTCTGAATCCCTTTAAAATTCTGGTAGTTGAACTACTAAAAAATGAAAAAAAAGAAATCGGAATCTCCGAAACCACAAAAAAAAATATCTGCAATGGGGCAGAAATTATAACAACTTTAGACTACTTAAAGTGAGACCAAAAGTAGTGAAGATGATTCAGAAGATTGTATAGAACTGATGTCGGATGAGGATGCAGAAAATGTCGTGACTGTCGTGGAGGGTGATTTTGTGCTTGTTAGGTACAATATGGAAATGTATCCTGGAAAAGTGTTGGAAGTAGAAGACACAAGAAATCATCATATCTCACATGGTAAAAAGTAGGGTGTTTGCTTGGCGTTGGCCTGAAAAGCCCGATATCTTAGCATATGACGAAATAAACATAGTAAAAGTTATCCATGAGCCCAAACAAAATAATAATAGGGGATCACATATGGTACCTGAAATGAAAAAATATCATTAAGTACTTTACATAAGTTTATACCCCAGTTCAGTTTAGTTGTTTCATTTGTTGTTTATTTTGAATAAAGCGTTTTTTCTACAATACTTAGAGGATTTTTAATATCTTCATTTTCTCGGCTATTTTTTAAGATAAATTAATGAAATTTTAAACGAGTATTTGTGATGCTTTACGAAACGTTCCAGTTACCTCAAAGTATTCTGCATTGTACAAATACAGAATTACACTACATAGTTCCAGTTACCTCAAATTATTGATAAAAAAAATTAAAAATTCCCCCGAAGCTCAGAAAAACATTTTTGTTTTTAAGCCGTTATTGCAGTTGATTTACAAAGGTGTAAATTGCATATCCATAGAATCTTGACCAATTTTCTTTGCAGGTTTGTCTTGTACATAGTTGCAAATTTAAGTATTGTAAAATTAGGTTCCAGTTAACCAACTTGACCTTAATGACTGTCTCTGAGTAGGAACTGTTGTTTTTAAAATCAAGTGTCAGATATTTGCTCATGTATTTTTAACAGACTTCAAATAAGTGGGAGGTTCTCAAGTCGTTGGTTTTTTTTTAGGTATATTTAGAAAGCAGGTACTTCAGGGGTCAAGATCTGGTAATGGCATCTGCACGATTTTTTAAATTTACTGTTATAACTTGTCTATAACGGATCATTTACCTATTATCGTTGACAATAAACTTTGTTTTAGCTGGGTATACAGTTCTTCGAAGCAAACAAAAAGTCTGCCTTATAGGGGCGAAATATCAACATATAATGGAGGAGGTTATTATGTAAATCTATCTCGTAACAAGAGTAAAACTATTCAACTAATTCAAGATCTGAAAGATAATTTGTGGATAACCCGAGGAACTAGAGCAATCCTTATAGATTTCAACGTATACAACGGAAATTTAAACCTTTTCGGAATTTGTAAACTCATATTTGAATTCCCCACATTAGGAGGAGTCATACCGTCTGCTAAAGTTCACACCGTTAGATTGCTCAGGTTTCATACCACTTTTGACTGGTTTATATTGGCTTGTCAATGCAGTTGTTACTTTTTTATAATATTTTATTTGTTTGAAGAGCTTCGAGAGATGATTTATTTCAAATTTGCGTATTTATTCAAGTTTTGGAATTATATTGATTTGTTAATAATTACGGTAAGTATAATAATTAGAGAGTTGAAGTGATGCTATGAACGTAAACGTAAACGTGAAAATTGACATCTACGCATGCGTATTTAAATATCGTTCACGTCTACGTACACACGTAAGCTTACAGACTCTGGCGCATGTACGCAACGCAAACAAAATAACCTCTTTTTAATTGGGAAAGAAGAAATCCTGATATTAATTGTCATTATCTGTCAAGACACGTAAATGTCACGATACGTTTAACAACTTCAACTCAGATTTTGGACTTCAACGTAAATATTACTGCGTTGACGTTCACGTTTACGTTAACGTACTGGAAATACTTCAACTCTCTATTATTAACGTTTAATATAATGCATAATTTAATTTTTTTTAGTTATTTGTTGTTGCTCTTATATTGTCAATATTATTAATACTACAAGTACCAGATGCTCTTAACGAAATTAGGAACTTTCCAGACGAATACGGAAATTTGGAATACGTAACAGAAATATACAAAAAACATAATGATGTGGTTGCGATTGCTCTTTATTTAATTTACCTTAAAGCATTCAAATTTTTGAACTTTAACAAAACTATGAGCCAACTGAATGATACTCTAAGCAATGTAAGTAAATTAATTATGTAAGGAAAATTATAAGAGCGATAAAGTGACAGTAACCGGGTAAATCCGCAATTCAAACTAAGCGATACACCCTCCAGAGGAAATTTTTAAAAGAGAGGAAAGACTCATACTTGTAACATAAGCATTAGTTAGTAGTTTAAGCTTAACCTTTATACAATGAACCTTGAGTTCTATTTGTCATCTGTCATGTCATAAGTCATAAATGACATACGCCATATTATCTTGTATCGACTTGATTCAGCGACATAAAAATAAAAACTCCGTTTGTTATTTAATAGGTTCATTTAATTACAACTATAAATATGTAACATGGTGGCAGCGGTTATTTAAACTAGCCGATTATTATTGTAATTAATGTGAAATGTTCAAAATAGGATGGCTTTACAGATCGGCCTAAAGGTACCTACGCTAAATAACGATTACATGATATCTACAATCTGAAATCTGTATCTGAAAAGGTCGAGTTGGGGAAGGCCATATCGTCGTCAATATCACGAAGTGACGTAACTCGAAAAATTAAAAATTGAGATGTCACATATAAGGCGTTTTCTAATATTCAACAAAATGATGTACTGATAATGGATCACGTAACCAATAAATGTCCGACTGGTGCAAACCTCAGGTGCAATCCAGATTTTTACCTGATGCAAATTATTTAAGAATGACTGACATTTGTGATTTTGTAATCTTAACTGTCAAACTGTTTTTTATTTAATGAAAACAAACAATTCGAACTCTTGTTGATAAGCACAAAGACTAAAGACAAGTATTACAATAATTAAAAAAATATATACTTGCCTTCATTTGCTTGCTGTATGTCTAACGCTGATAATCTTATTTTAAAAGTTAGCCCACGTAGAGGTTTGTTTAATAAAACCCAGTGAGTTTCTTTATTCATATTATTAAGAATTTTAAGCGAACTTTTCCTATGTCGTTATCTGCCTAATATTAATTAATAATTTAAGGTTATGTCACGTGATCCATCAGTGCATCAACATAATCGAGTTGATGGATTTGGTGACAACCATCTGAGAATTAGGTTGAATTTAAGAATATGATGTTTGACTCATCTAAAAAAATTTAATGGATAAAAGAACAATTTTGATGAAAGCTAGATGGCATCGATGAATATTAGAAAACGCCTATTATGTAAAAAAATATGCTCTACAATTTCACGAAATTGCGTATCTCAAGTCATTACATTTATTAAAATAGCACGTATCTAACCGGTGTATCTGATAATTTTACGAAGTGACGTAACGTTATAAAAAAACTTTAAAACGCTCTGTTGTAAAGTTGAGAAAATTGAGATACGTCACTTCGTGATATTGACGACGACCCAGGCAGCACACTGACGTTACAGAGACGTCATTTTTTGGTGATAATTAGTCCCTGACGTCACATCACCTAAAAATGACGTTTCAAAGACGTCATAAATGTAACGTCAGTATCACGTCATAATTTTACGTCATATATACGTCACAGTATGGTCATAATTTTTAACTCGAATAAAAGTGTTAACAAACTTGGTGATTTTATTTTTCCGGAGTGATAAAAAACAGTTTTTTGTCACCCTTTAAAAGAAAATAGTATATTTTTTTATTAAGTTTGCTGATCGCCAATTGGGTGCCAGCTAACTAAGAGAAAGCAAAGAATAGAAGAGAAGAAAAAGTTGGGTTATGGTTTACTTTTGATTCGGACTTGCGCCGATTCGGTAGTGTTCAACAAAAAACCCACGCTATCTTTCCCGCCTCCCGCCTTCGCTTTATAATGAATCGTTACATAGTAGTGCCGCCATTAGTGCTCAGTGTCAGCGTCTCGTTTCTTGACTCAGTTTTTAGTGTTATTAGGTGATATATTCCTCTTATTATTTATTTTAGAGCATTCAAATTCTTATATTTTAGTCATGTACTTAGTCATTAAATTTTCCGATGAATGCCGGGGTGGCCTAGCATTAATTCATCGTAAATGGTTGACACCATTCACGTAAAAGAAGAGTTTATTGGCCGCCCTACAAGTAATTAAATACTTCTAACAAATCGCTTAAAAATGGGGAGGAAGTAAATGAGTCTTGGAGTTTGTATGGTGTTAAGCGAATTTTTTATGAAACTGGTAAGTTGCTCTAAAAGATATAAGCTTCATACCACCTTCATACTCACTAGGGCGAATTTCGCGGATTTTTGACATAATGTGTCAAATTCAGAATATTTTTAAATATGGATTTGACACATTATGTCAAAAATCCGCGAATTTCTCCTAGGCACAGGATAAAGAACGACTTTCTTCTGTGGCCTAAGTGAGTATGAAGCTTAAGCCTTTAGTCAGCCTGTTTTAAGCTTTAATATAATATATAGACATTAACATAAAAGATAAATAAAATACATTTCAATGTACCTGTTTATACAGAATAACAAGCATAAAAGTAACATAAACATAGTGAAGAAAAATAAAATCCAGCCTAAATGTATGTCGATAATACAATTATTGTACATTTGCCTTTAAAAAGTGAGGTTAAGCTATTTTCCTAACTTTCGAACTTCTAAAATTCTTTCCACATTTTTTGATCAATAATAATTGATAGAGTTAGCAGAGGAATTTTAGAAACAGCTACCATATATTGGGGTATATTCTGTAACAATTCCTTTATATTTAACGGCCTTTAAAAATATTTTCTTCTTTACTTCTGTCATTATTTAAACGGATCTTTAAAATACATTAGAGGACTATCTTAAAGAAATCTGTTTAAATAATGACAGAAGTAAATTAACGAATACGAACATATTTTTATAGGCCGCCAATATTTTTAAAGGCCGTTAAATATAAAGGAATTGTTACAGAATAGACCCCATAATGTCTTTTCTCTTTTTCATTTATAATTTGTCAAAAAATCTTATGCTTATGATTAAACTTTCTGTATAAATGGTTTTGCTTTAAAATCCTTAAATTTGTATTTATGTTGAGCTTAAAACAAAATCAGGCTGACTATAAATGTACTTTTAGTTTGATACTTTCGTAGTTTAATACTGATATAAAAATAATAAAATTGGAGAATACAGTATAACCAACTGGATATCAACAATCAAATTTTTTTAGTAAATTCAATGAAAAATGTAGCGATAATTACCTACTACTTATAAAATATGTATTCTTAATTAATTAAGGTACTTACCTAAGAAAACATTTTTAATCTTCTTTATAACCATTACAATATCAACCAAAAGTGGCTACTACAACTAGTTCCAATAATAAGACAAATCCCTACACATCAAGAATCAAAAACGTTGAAGTAGAACACTAACAAAATATTGTTTTTATGTAATACTTATTTTGTCAAGTTTACAGTGGACAGTAGACAGTACATTAATTTCCCATAACATTTCTGATTTAATATCAGTACCTACAATTTAAGTATTAATACTATATTGTTAGTCTTATTTTAAAATCATTTTATTATGACAAGAATATTCTTCTGTAAAAGTTTATAATTTGTTGTAATATTAGATATGTAAAATTTACAGCTGTTTGTGTAAAATTAACAAAGTATAATTTAGTTGAAGATAAAAATATACTATAAATGTTATAATTTTTTTTATTCTAACTATAAAATTGTTGTCAATGGGTGACAGAAATTTTATATATCAATTAAAGAAAATTACATTTGTTAATATTCTATGTGCAGGACAAAATTATTATGATTAATTTAATAATGTGGGCTTTATTATATCATTCCAACAACTTACTACCAATGAAAAATTAACTCTTATATTAACGGGTTTTAACAATGTTTATAATATTTATGTTAAATGAATAAAAAGTATTCTTTAAAACCTTAACAAAACTATGTTGTGAATGTAGTATATTTAATTCTTTGAATGAACAAAAAGTTCTTGCATTTTTTTTTTAAATGAATGTAATTTTTTTAGATGATTTGGAAAAGGGGAGAAGAAAATTAAAACAGGCAGAAAATTCAAGTGACCTAAATTCAGAATTTGATGAGGAAGCACCCAGAAAAAGAGTGCGAGCAAAAAAAAATTTGTAGTAGCAGCGAGGATGAGAGTAATAAAGAGAGTGCATTGGAAAGGCCTCCAAAAATTTTAAAGAAAAATATATTAAAGAAATGTAACGGTAATAAAATTTTATGTTTTACATACCTTTAGTAATTACTGCAATCACATACATTTTGAATTTTTAAATGTTATTTTCAAGGAAAAATTTTTCAGGGTAAACAAAATTATCGCTGTCATGTCTTGTGTGATTTTTAAATAGAAATTATTTTGTTTTTAACCATTTTGCTGAGGATAGTGCTTGGCACAGGTGCCGTTTGATAAAATATACAATGTTCTTAAATTCCATTACCAAATGACAGCCGAAATTTGCATCCCATTTTTTTCAGAAGTCATGTTTAGTTTTAATGATTTTTTATAAAAATTTATAATAAAAGCTGTTATTATTTATTAGTAATATTATTTCCTATAATCCCTACAGAGCCACCGTATTAGTAACGTCACAGTAACGTCACAAATTGACGTCACATCAACTCTACAAATTGACGTTACAGTAACGTCACCAATTGACGTCACTGTAACGGCATAAATTAACGTCAGAATAACGTCACAAATTGACGTCACAGTAACGGTACAAATTGACGTCACAGTAACGTCACAAACTGACGTTACAGTAACGTCACAAAATGACGTCACTGTGCCGTGACATAATGACGTGAGCTGGACGTCATTTTGACGTCAGACCTTTGGTGAAAAATGACGTAACTCATGACCAATAAATGACGTCTCTGTAACGTCAGTGTGCTGCCTGGGGAATGGCCCACAGTCCAAATGAAATCTAATGGGAACAATAACGCTGTTTTAAATCAAAGCTATGTTGAATGGAAGTTGTTTAAAGGCGTGTGTGTTACATAATAAATGTATGTGTGTTTTAGGTGCAATTACACTACAGAGCTAAAACAAGTGTTATTTGTTACGTTAAAAGATGCTGACTTAAGCCTTGTTTTCTTTGAACACTTCGTCGCGGTGAGCGGACAGTCCGTCAACCGTCGCGTTTTGACGATTTTATCCAACCAGAGCATTTAAATGGGAATGGTTTTCTTGAATCCGCTTAGCTGAGCAGGACGGCGTCATGCCGCTGATTGGTCGCGAAGAGTCGGTTGATATCTGTTGAGTTTGATATCAGCGGAATCGTCGGCGTGTGCTGAGACTATATTGTTATTAATTTTAAAACAATGGGTGACAAATTCACACATACAAATGACATCATGACTTTATTTTTAGATTTCTTGGAAATTATATCCTTTATAAAACTCAACACGAATACAAAAAGATCTGTAGAAAGTCTAAAATACTCCCTAAATTTGGTTTCATTTCCAAAAAACCTCCGCTGCACAATGATATTAAAGGCACCTTCTATATCGCGACACAAAAACAACTCATCCACTGGCTTATTGGAAACTTTGACAGTTGCAATTGCCAGTTCCTCTTGTTCTTCCTCTTCCAACAATAATAACAACGCAAACAATTTATTTGCATCCATTTTAGTACCTTTCGTTTACATTCATAATACATAAACAGCACGTACAGACCTAGAGAAAGTATCATTTTCTATATTTTTTAACAAACCACCTCGGGCGAAAATTGCTGTCCTCAGCGGTCGACGGACTGTCCGCTCACCGCGACGGAGTGTTCAAAGAAACCAAGGCTTTAGACGAGACACAGCTGTTTTCGTCTGTGCCCTATGATACAACCTGTAAAAAATCATTAATATAATTATTTAGATTATGATAAATATAATTTTTTATTTCAGTGTGTTGTTGACATCCTAGGATTCTCTTTAATGTTTTTTATTATATTTTTTGCATATGCTGAACTTGGATACTTACTGTTTGGAAACCAGGTGAGATAGGTCATGAACTTCTTTTATACAGACTGTTAAAATAAAGCAGTATCGCACAATTTTTGGATTTTTTTCATCAAATCGTTATTTTTAGGTTGAAGGGTTTAGTAGTTTCAACATAGCCATGTTTACATTACTTCGCACCATCTTAGGTGACTTTGATTATCAAGAAATTGAGGAAGCCAACAGAATTTTAGCTCCTATTTATTTTCTATCGTACATATTTTTGGTTTTCTTTGTTTTACTTGTAAGTAAACCTTTGATATATATATATACGTGTAAAATTTTTGTTCTGTTATTTCCAAATTACTTGTATTACGCTTGGTTAGATATTGGCCAAGTATATTTGAACCCATTTTAAATGCGTGTATCTCAATAGTTATTAGAGATGCAATGTTCGAATTTCAATAGACACCTGTAAAAATAATATTTTTCGACATCATTTTGCAATTTTCGTTCGGACGCTGTTTTGACTAACGCTCTTTTGGTACGCGCTATTTTGTTCAGGCGTTCTATTGAAATGCGCTAATTTGTCCAGAGCTATTTTGTGACAGAGCCATAAAATAGGCTTAATAGGTGTGTTACAGTAAATCATGAATTACCAAAGTGCGGCCCGCGGACCATTTGGGGCCCGCGAGACTGTTTCATGTGGCCCGCGAACAATTGGTCAAATAAACGAAATTAAAGTGTTTAATTTAAACATAAAAAAAAGAAGACAGGTCATCAACTACAGAAACTTTATTAATTATAAAAATTGAGAGAGTAGCAAGAATTAAAAAAGACCAGTGGATCTCTGTATCTGTAACGTGTGGAGGGTGGGTTACTCCCACGGCACTGAGGCCTCACTAGGCCCATTTTGCAACCTACAGATTTAATGTAATTGACAACGTCGCCAAGGGGTGCTTCTCTTATTTCGACCAGTGTTAGCCAATACTCGCCGAACACAAATCTTCTATTAAATGAAAGCGTCGAGCAATCGTAAAGTATATGCTCGAGAGTCTCATCTTCTTGTTCGCGACCTCTCCAGAGTACGGATTCTGAAAGCCCCATGATATGGAGATGCTTCCGTACTTGGCAATGACCAGTCACAATATCTGTGACTAGGCGCAGATTCTGTCTAGTTATAGTCAAATATTTGTTTGCTGTAGTGTTGTCAGGATAACTTAATAACTCCTTGGCTACTCTGCAGTTTCTTGTTTCATCTCATCTTTCCTTGAATTTCACAAGGGAATGTTCTTTAATTAGGTCTCTATCACTATCGATTTTGTCAGGCCAATAGAAGGGCCAGGACAAAGAAGTATTTGGTTGGCTGCTTTCTTGGCCAGTGAATCAGCAAGACGGTTACCTTTCGATGTGGCGTGACCCTTAATCCATCTTAAGATGACCACATTGTTGATGGATACTTCGGCCAAAGCTTCGTGACATTCTAGTACTAACCCTGAATAAATTCGTGGTCTGTTCAGGGTGAGTAGTGCTTGTCTGCTATTTGTATAGATGAGCATGTTCTTTCCAGTGATATTGTTTCTGGTGAGATCTTTTGCTGCTATGAGAATCCCCGTTAGCTCTGTTTTGAACTACACTGGCACAATTGCTCACAGCCCAGTTTAGGTTTAAGAATCTTTAAGAATCCACATCCTGAACCTTTTGTTTTAGAACCGTCGGTGTAGATATGAGTCGTATCTGCCACTTCCGGCTCTTCTATTTGTTCTGTTATAACTGGAGGTCCATGTTCGCTTGAAGCAGTGGGAGCATATCGAACGCCTCCTACCAAAAGCGACGTCTTATCTCACCAGATCCCACATCAGATTCTATTCCAACTGTGCGGAGGCGTGTCATTGTTGTCAGAGCAACCTCCTTGGTGTAAATATCAAGGGGAGTGAGCTAAGAATGACTCTGGCCGGTGTTGTTTTCATGGCTACTGTTATGTTGAGACATACTGTTCTTTGAATTTGTTCTAGTTTACGGATAGCTGCTAATTTTTGGGTTTTCGGTACCCAGACAACTGCACCGTATGTTAGCATAGATCTTATGATGGCCGTGTAAGTCCATACGACGACTCTGGGGGAGAAACCCAGTGGCTCCAGTGGATTAACCGACCCCAATTGCATTTAAAAATCAATACATTACCAGAGTAACATATTAGTGGTTTTTGCGAAACGTCAATGTGAAGTTTGTCAAAAAGGTGACAAAAATCGGTTTGGTTATTGAAATATACATTTTAAATACCCAATCGTCTTCATCTCGTGAAGAAATAAGAAAATGTTGTTTATAAAAGTTCTGTTTATATTGTTAAATAATCTTTCAAAATGCCACGCAAGGTGACATTTATATTTGAAAACCTTTTATTTCCTTACAAATTATACAAAATGTCCCCAAAAAATTATCACCTCTTGTGGTAGGTATTACTCTTGAAAATAGATATGTAACTATACTTGCCGCGCCGAAGAAATGCAGTCATCACGTGGGCTTCACGTGTATATCAGCCTAAAATGAGTTTCCGATTGCTGCCTGTAGATCGTCAAAACGAAATGTTTTTAGTGAGACCGTTGGGCGTTATCGTTTTTTTTTAATATTTGAATTTACTTGCTTTGGCAAAGATCAACGGGATTAATGCGACTTATAGGTTCCCTACATCTATTTATTATTGATGTTAAGATAATTACAAATATACAAGGTTCATTTCCCAAAATAATCTACAAAAACCTGTTTCTGGACTATAACATGGCCAAGCCCTCAACACGTGTTGATGGCGCAGTTTTATTGGTGTATCTCTTAGGCGCGTCGAGTATAGCTACAGTTTTGTATAATGTTTTATAATGTGCCAACCCACTGTTTTTCAAAATAATTTGAAAATTTTGCCCGTTTATCAAAAAGTTTGGGAACCCCTGCAGTAAATGATAAGCACTTGGAATAGTCTGATCTAATAATATTTTTGTATAGTTCGTTTCGTTTCGCTTTCAAATAATGGGCCCGTTCACTTTTATTTTTGAATGTGAATTATTTATATATTTATGAAGATATTAAACTCTTTTATCTGGTGGTACTTTTCCCGTTAAGATATTTTTGCTGGAAGTAAGGGAATTCCCATAAAATTCTTTCAGTGACTCATTGCGTCAGAAAACCCCTAATTCCCTTCAGGTCTCGTATCGGTTAATAGTTAAAAGGGCGCGGTTGTCGGATGTATCATTGCACCACCATTCCTCTACTGCATTTATTAAAGAAATTTACATGATAAAAATATATTATTTTTTAAAAATAATGTGTTAATATTTTCAGATAAAGCTGGAAGCCCTACTAGCCCAATCGAATTAGGTGAAGAACAGGCTTGAGATTCTGAAAAATTGGAAGCAGCAATTTTCCTTCGGAATTCGTTGGAGGGGGTCTCTGGTAGTCTAAATTCAAAAAGTTGGGATTCCAAAGTTGTCGCTACCTCCGCCATCTTGATTTAAAGGGTTATTTTTTGTATCTTGAATAACTCATTTATTTTCAATTTTACAAGGAAAATAGTTTTTACAAAAGTTATTTAAAATTAAATTTCCTACAATTCTGCTTTTTTTTGTACGATCGATTTTTTCGATTTAAACCCGAAAAGAGGGGGTGAATTTTTGGTTATAGAATAACTCGTTTATTTTCAATTTTACGAGAAAAATTGTTATAAACAAAGTTGTTTAAAATTAAATTTCCTACAATTCTGCTTTTTTTTGTACGATCGATTTTTTTCGATTTATACCCGAAAAGAGGGGGTGAATTTTTGGTTATAGAATAACTCGTTTATTTTTAATTTTACGAGAAAAATTGTTATAAACAAAGTTGTTTAAAATTAAATTTCCTACAATTCTGTTTTTTTTCTGTACGCTCGATTTTTTGTATTTACCCCTGAGAAGAGTGGGGGTAAACTCTTATCATTGTATTATCACGTTTCTTTTTAATTCCAGGTATCAGCAAAAAAAAACAAACAGAAAAAATAACGGTACAACATCAATAATAAACGTGACAATACAATACTTAGGTTCACCCCCACTCTTCTCAGGGATAAATACAAAAAAATCGATCGTACAAAAAAAAACAGAATTGTAGGAAATTTAATTTTAAACAACTTTCTTTATAACAATTTTTCTCGTAAAATTGAAAATAAACGAGTTATTCTATAACCAAAAATTCACCCCCTCTTTTAGGGTATAAATCGAAAAAAATCGATCGTACAAAAAAAAAAGCAGAATTGTAGGAAATTTAATTTTAAACAACTTTGTTTATAACAATTTTTCTCGTAAAATTGAAAATAAACGAGTTATTCTATAGCCAAAAATTCACCCCCTCTTTTCGGGTATAAATCGAAAAAAATAGATCGTACAAAAAAAAGCAGAATTGTAGGAAATTTAATTTTAAACAACTTTGTTTATAACAATTTTTCTCGTAAAATTGAAAATAAACGAGTTATTCTATAACCAAAAATTCACCCCCTCTTTTCGGGTATAAATCGAAAAAAAATCGATCGTACAAAAAAAAGCAGAATTGTAGGAAATTTAATTTTAAACAACATTGTTTATAACAATTTTTCTCGTAAAATTGAAAATAAACGAGTTATTCTATAACCAAAAATTCACCCCCTCTTTTCGGGTTTAAATCGAAAAAATCGATCGTACAAAAAAAAGCAGAATTGTAGGAAATTTAATTTTAAATAACTTTTGTAAAAACTATTTTCCTTGTAAAATTGAAAATAAATGAGTTATTCAAGATACAAAAAATAACCCTTTAAATCAAGATGGCGGAGGTAGCGACAACTTTGGAATCCCAACTTTTTGAATTTAGACTACCAGAGACCCCCCTCCAACGAATTCCGAAGGAAAATTCCTGCTTCCAATTTTTCAGAATCTAAAATACTAATCCGATTGGGCTATACCTTTTTAAATTTTAATAAAAACAATTAGTATTACTCAAGCTGAATATTACCAGATCGAAATTTTATTTGAGAAAATGTATTTGGTAAACGTGACAACGTTGTAATTACTTCTAAATAGTGTTGTCTACACACACTTCTAGAAATAAATGCAACGTTGCCACGTTTACCAGATAAATATTGCAAATCAAATTTCTACTTTTTGATTATGGTCTGGTTAATTTTCAGCCTGAGTAATAATAATTGTTTTAATTAAAAAGTAAAAAATAAGCTCCCATATTTAAATCTGAAAATATAGGTTCATGATTTTTAGAAAAATAATGGAATTTTACTATTTAAATTACATATAT